CTTTACCCCCTCCTCCCTCTTTCTCACCTCCGTCTTTTTACCCCCCTCCTCCCCCTTTCTATCCCCCGTCTCCACTCTGTCGTTCAGCTTTTAAATGCAGGACTTTGTGTCTGAATTATTCTCGTTTATTTAAGATGCATGAATGTTAAATTATAAACCGTGGGTCACTGCTTCACCCTCAGCTGCTCTGTCCCTGAGAGAGAGAGAGAGCGTTAACAGCAGATGGATGTCATCGAGCTGAAGCCGTCCGTCCTCCGTCCGTCCTCCGTCCGTCCTCCGTCCGTCCTGCAGCTGCTCTCTACTCTATTCTGCTGGTCTCCATCAGGAGCTGGGATTCAGTCTCTGACTCGTCCTACAGCTTGATTGGTCTTTGATCTGGTACTGTGCACAGGAGATGGTAAATCAATCTGATTGTGCACGCCAGATGTGACAGGGTCACAGGATAGATGACCAGATCTACTGCTTGGATCAGAATCCTTCCACATCTGCATTTCAGTATTTGTAACTGCAGTAAAAACATAAGCAACAAACTGAAAACTAAAACTCAGATATTTGAGATTTGAGCTCTGGTCGAACCCTGTTTGATGGAGCCGGCGTTTGACTTGTTGGAACCATCAGTTACAGGTCAGTGCTTCTGGTTTTTTTAAAGTCAGTGGTGACCTTTTTATACTCACTGCAGCTTTTTAATGTCCACAGCAAAATAAGCTTCACTTCTTACACCGTCATTACATCAACACAGTGAACGGGTTTATTAGTTTTTCCCTCTGGAGGCCTCAGCCCAGACTATTAGACCGGGAGGACCAGGACGATATTGGAGGCTGTGATTCAGCAGGGATGACGGTGTCGTGAAGTGTTTGTTGACGGGGGAAATGCAGAGCAGCCGGTTTTATGACAGAAAACAAAAACAGCTTCCTCAAAATGAGCCCTGGCTGGAGAAGTGGCTGTGACGACACCAAGCCAACACGTTCGCTGTCTGCTGGTCTAACACGACCAGGTGAGGGAGGCCGTTCACGTCCACTAGAACACAAGGTCAGCATGAGCCTGAAACGCCCACGTTAAGTCCAGCAGGTCTGGGGATGTTGCCTCGCAGTACTTTGACAAAACACCAGAGAAGTGCACGTCAGTGTTCAATTACACAGTAATTAGTCACTATGATCCAGTATCAGAGACACTACTGGGACACGGGCCGTTGTGCAGGACGAGTACTGGTACTGCTGGTACTTCTCGTAGATGTGGATAGTAATATGTTGGGGCGACAGTGGTGCGGTGGGTAGAGCAGTTGTCTCTCAACCAGAAAGTTGAAGGTTTGACACTCGGTGCCTGCAGTCCACATGTTGAAGTGTCCCTGGGCAAGACACTGAACCCCCCCAAGTTGCCCGTGATGGCGGTGCGTATGCACACAGCGGCCTGGGGCCCCTCGGCTCTAAACAAAATTTCATTGTACGTGTTACAATAAAATAAAGCTTCTTCTCTATTACTTTTGTATTTCAGGACTTTATACAATATACTAATTGGTATATCTACACTGTGATATTTCTGTTTTTACTTAAAGCTACAGTAACTTTTCCCAAATGTTGTTGTAGAAATCTGCTCCAACACGTGTCCTAACGTGGAGCGGTGCTGTCGAAGCCTCCTTTGGCCCAGACTCAGTGAACTGGCAGCAGTGCAGAGACATCAGCTTCTAAATGGTTTGAGTGGGACTGACCTCTGACCAGTCAGAGATTTTCACTTATTGATCAGTGAGTTTTGTTTTTCTCGTTTATTGTAACTTCATAAGGACAAATATGTGCAGAGCTGGGCAGAGCGTGGCGGAGCGTAGCAGGTCATAGTGGAGCAGGGCGGAGCAGGGAGGGTCACGCTACTTTAAGTTACATACTGTAGTTTCGAGTAAAGGATCGCTGTACTTCCTGCCCTCGGCCTCCAGCAGGATTCAGACCAGAGTCTTGAACAGTTTCTAGTCCCCGTGCTGCTGAAACAGTTTTGGTCTATTTTGGTTCCTTCTCTTCTTCTTTCACACATTCACAAGCTTCATACACACAGGCCAATGGGTACGTGCGCTTTTCAAAGGGTGCACAACTGTTACAATCCTTGTCCACGTGTGCAGTTGTAACCCACGATAAGGTGACCAGTCAGCCAGCTGGTTGTGTAAACTGGAGCCTGGTCTGCTCTCTGAACTCTGAGGACATCTGGGAGTTCCCTGGTAAATGTCAGGCCACTCAGCGCTGGGGCTATATATAGACACCACACACACACACACACACACACACACACACACACACACACACTGTTTGTGTTCGACTCCCTTCTTTCTCTGGATTCTTCTCCAGCCCCCCCAGTGCACCAAGCCGCTCTGAATAATTAATGAGGTCTAACACTTACACACACACAGTCTCTTCTTACGATCAATAGTCCACAAAAAGCCTTTCCTCGGACCTTCCTCTTCTTCTTCTTCTCCTTTTTTACCTGTCATGGGTCCTCCACTGAAGGAAAGGCCACCCTGTTCTCCGTTCTGTGACATGTGCTTCCTAATATTCTGACCCGCTCATGTACGTAGCTGGGGAAGACAAAAAGATAGAGACACCTCTGAATATAATGTAGTCCAGTCCAACGCCACCTTTAACTCTGACCTCGGTAATAAACATATAACTGAATTTATACATTTATGACAATTTCACCAAAAACTGAAACATGTTTAGTTTCATAAACAGATGTTAAGGTGAAAGTGTTACACTGAAGTGCATACAGCTGTTCAGGTGTACCTAATAAAGTGGTAGGTGAGTGTATTTACGTGATATTGCAATAACATTGTCAGAATTCTGTGTGACCTGACTTGTGACTTGGTTGACTTACAGTATACAGTGGTGGGAGAGGTCCCCCTGTCTCCCACTCAGGTCAAAGTAGCAATACAACAGAAGCAGAACCAGCCGCCCTGACCTTTCCTGTCCCCGGTCGAATCTCCGTGGATTCAGCTGCAGCCTCAGACCTCTGTGCTCCCCCAGCTCCAGGTGAACCATCTGCGGTTGTTTCATAGAGCTCCCCATTAGCTTCGCACATCTGTAAAAACAAGCGTGGTCACCAAATGCAGCCAAGGCTCCGGTGTCCTGACGTTAGCCCAGAAAAACGTGCGTTTCCCATAGAGCAAGGGAAGAATACATGTGGACTTACTTTGGCTCTGTGTGAGAATCCTTTGTCGATGTCTGCGCCGACTTCTTACTCTAAAACTGTAAGAACATAGTTGAATGGTCCTTTGATAGAATTAGGTTCCTCTCTCACTCCCTTCTTGCTTCTTATTTAATTCTTGCCTCAGACCTTTCTTCTCTCTTGTGGTGAAAAATTGAGCTGTAATTGAGTTGACTTATGCTGCATTGGAAAGACGGGAAGCCCACACACACACAGTGGAAAAATCAATGGTCAATCTGGCAGTGTGAGGGGCGCTTGGGCTCTGTACCTGCACTCCCCAGGTAAAGGTAACACACATGGGTCTCCATTACTATCACACTATGGATTAACTTTGGTCTCTTGTGCGTTTAACAACCAACACGCTGGTTATTCTGTTCTCTAATAAAACTGTAAAGGCTTCCGTTCTGCACCACTACACCGACCGAGTTCCTCCAGCGTGGTTTTAGGTTTCAGCACAGAGAGCTGGTGGTGTTCCTGGTGGGGCAGTCAGTCACGTCTGTCTGCAGCCTCCACAGAGCCAAGCATTCACGTCACTGTCTTGTCCTCCGATGTCACGGTGGAGCAGAACTCCCCAAGCGCTGGACTGTTCCCCCACTAACAGGGAACATGAGCTGCTGGGAGACAGGTTAGTTTTACCTGATGATGGGCTGCTGAGATAATGACGCTGCTATCCTGCCTGGACGTGATGTGGAGCTGGTGAGTAGCGCTGTGATGGTCCCCCTCCTGTCTCACACTGCAGCTCTGTGGACACCCTGGTGCCGTCACTTGGAGGTGACCTGTTTCTAGATTGGGATTTTGTACGTGGCAGAGCAGCTCCCTCACTGTGATCTATTGAAACCTCCAGGTTGTCCGGAGACAGCCTACCTGCAAAAACAGAAAACACACGATAGGCCCCTGGTTGAAAGCTGGCATTTGGGGGTGCTTCAAGCCTGATTCCTCACAGAGGTGCCAGGCAGGGTGGAGGACTGACCTCCAACAGAGTTCACCTTTCATGAAGATCACAGCCAAAGCAACAGCAGAGGGGCAAAGTCGGACAGTGCACATCTACAAAGGGCTGAAGAGCAGGCAAAGGTCAGGCCCAGCTGGAAGGAGCTGAGCTGAGACAGGAGAACCACAGCCCAGTGTACTGTCTGCGCCAGATTCACGACGGAGACGGGTGTGAGAAGGTCAGAGGTCATCACTGAAGGCATTGTCACACCTGTGTCTACGTCTGTAAGGTGTTTCTGCTTGAGGCACAGATGCTGACTCTGAACTGGGACACACTAGTTTCCAGTAACACCTCACTACTGGAATGAGCTGTAGCACAGCTTGAACTTTAGAACTGATGATAGTTGTGGTAGTTTCGATCAGTGTCGAGGTGCATGTGTCAAATCACATTTATTTTTCTCACATATAAATAAAGTTGGACAAAAAGAAGCCAGTTTGCAAATAAAACCAAATTCTACACAAAAAGTTCATATGAGAACAAACTAGAAAATGTCAGTATTATATGTAAAAGCTTTGTTTTATGTGAATAAAGTCATAATTTTACAAAGATCATGAAGCTTAATGACAGAATCACCATGAGAATAAAGTGCTGACACTATCGATCCTCGTCACAGTGGTAGGACGTTGTTTCACGTTTTGTTTGGCTTCAGTGTTTGGCCGGGAGGTTTGGTTGAGATCAGATTTCTCTGGTTCTTCATCCGTCAGACTTTTCTTTCTCATTGTTCTGTTGCAACACATGCAGTAATGCCTCTCTCTCTCCCTGTTTCGTTCGCTCGCTCTTCTCCCAACATGAAACTCCCACCAGTCTGTTTGATGTGCAGCGCTGAAGGGAGGAAAAGAGGAAGAGGAGAGCGAGAAGGATGGGAGGGTTAAGCAAGCAAATGGGAGGAGGTGAAGCTGGAGAGAGAGAGAACGAGTGAGCCTGTGTGTGAGGGAGTGAGAGAGAGGGCGAGAGAGCCGAAGGATGACAGGAGAGTTGGCTGTTGCCGCGGCAGCAGAGCAGGACGGATCTAAGACAGTGAAACAACACTCCTCCTCCTCCTCTTCTTCATTTTATCATTATCCCTGCATCTTCCTGCATCTGCCCATCTCCACCTGGAAAAACCCGCTTCTGCCTCCCTCATCCTCCTCTTCTTCATCATCTTCATCATCATCATCATCAGCTGTGGTAAGTAGGATGAAAACTGCTCCAGATACAGCACTACTGCTGAGAATAGAATAGGAAGGGGAGAGTGGAAGTCGAGGACAGGAGTCGGACGGGACAGAGGGGTGGACAGAGAGGGACGAGTTTGGACAGAGGAAGAAGAAATAGAACCACAGTAGAATCAGAGTAGAAAACTCGAAGAGTGGATGAGAAGAAAAGAGTCATAAAAGAGAAACCAGAGAGAACAGACAATGAATAAACAACGACAAGAAGTGGGAAAACAGGACAGATGGCAAACAATAGAATAGAATAGAATAGAATAGAATAGAATAGA